ATAGCTATCGAAGCCATACTCATAACGTAGACCTTTTTTGGATCTACGAGTATATTAATACAGAAATGTAAGAAAACAAACGACCACGAATAGATCTGGATTAAACGCCGACCGACAAATAGCTGAAGAAATGATAAGAGAACAATATAACAGAACAAAGAGATAAGATCGTTATTTATTGAGGGGGTGGGATGATCCTACGGCTATAAATGAAAGGTCGGCAGATATTTTGACGGTGGGATACGCGTGAAACGTTGACTTCGGTGTTGGGGTAGGGCGGAATAATCGGACGAATGAGATTGGATTCTATTCGTAGGAAAGGTTATGCCTTCTAGATGTGTGAATAGATAAGTATGCAACGTGTTTCGTTGAGGCTCGCATGTTTCATGGTATTTTCTTTATTTTCATTCAAGCCCTCTTAGTTTGACACAATTCATTTTAATTTTTTACTTGCCTTCAAAATTGGCAATCTTTCTAAACAATTTGATTTAGCGCAGGTTTGATTTCCATTTCTTAAAATTTATTTTCAATCATATATTTTATTGGATCCACATATTTTACTAACTTTTATCGAAATCATCTAAAAAAACTAAGGGTGTATTTGATAGCACACCATTTTCCATGGAAAATGAAAAAGCAATACCATTTTCCAATTTTTGTAGTGTTTAATAGATGAAATTTTTCATGGAAAATGAATTCCACTTTTCTTGGCCACACCAACATTTTTCATCAAATCCTTGAATTCCAATTCTCACCAATATGGTGAGAATTGAAATTCTCGATTACTGTAACATTTTTCAAATTTTTTTTGACAATGAAAATAAATTCTAAGAATTATTGTAAAAAAGATATTTCCCTTTAACTAACAATTTTAATGTAAAATAAAGTCAAATGAACACCAAAAGATCGATTATTTTTTTGAATTTTTTTTGTTGGCAATGGAAACAAATTTCATACCAAATACTAGTAAATTATATCCCTTTAATTGACAATTTTTATGTAAAATAAAGCGAAACGAAAATAAAAAAAACTTTTATTTCAACATTTTTCACTTGAAAAATTATACCAATCAAACATAATAATTTACAACTTCCAAGAAAATAATTTTTAGACAATTCAAGTCCCTGAAATTCGTTTTCAATTTAATTCAATTCTATTTTGCAATCAAACGGACCCTAATTTTTGTTCAAATCAAAAGGATGCTTTCATTTGAACCATAGGTTTAGCCCATCTTTGGCTAATGTCTATAAAAGCCGTGTCACTTTTTTATTCACACATCTAGAAAATTTACAAGTAATGTCCCATTATTCACTATTTATTTATAATTTAAATAGTTGAAAGATTAGTTATAAATACTTTTTGAGAACAACAATTAAAATGTTGAAAATAAGAAATGGAGGAGTACTAGGAGCCATCGATGTTATGTAATTGGGGCCTTGTAAGAAGAAATACATGATGATGGAACTTATCCATGTAAGTGGACGAGCTTTAGTGCGTATTCTTGTCGAGTTGATGAGCGCTTCATATGACATATTCGATGCTCGACTCACATCTATGAATAGTTTCAAGAGCGAGCAGAGCTTACAAAGTTAACACGCTAATGCTAGTATTGTTTTTTAATACATAATTGTTTCTGTGACAGGAAATAATCAAAGCAATAAAATAATTTAAAAATTGTATAATATAAAAGTGTAGTTTTTTTTTTTTTTAATACGTGCATTGTCATCCATTGATAATGGACAAAGGCGGCATAATATTTGGAATGGGTACGCAAGGTATGTCCGTGGCTTGGTGAACACTCATAACTGCAGGTAAAAGGTCAAGTTGGCCACTCAACTCGTGGGTCATAAATTGATAATTCAACTCTAAATTATTTCAAATTAATCATTAAATTTTAAGACTTAATTCAAATTGGTCACTAAACTTTAATTTGTGCTATCTACAGTTATGTACGCGTGTTAAAAAAAAAAGGGAATAGGAATAGGAAAAGGAAAAAAGAAAAACCGTTCTTGATTTTCTTGGAATTCTTTTGGATCTTAGAGAATGTTTGATTGCGAAGATGAAATTTGGGTGAAAAGAAAATGAATTTCAGGGAATTGAATTATCTAAAAATTGTTTTCCAGGGAATTATAAATTATTGTGTTTGATTAGTNTGTGATTCAAGATCCAATAAAGTTCTTTGTAGGTGATATGCATTGCATCTGAAACTGATGATTACATATATTTAGAGATATTACGGGTGTTGAAGCATTAATGGGCCACATGAACTTTGCCATGCACCGAAATATGCTGCTATAATGATTTATTACTATTTAGCTGATACTGCTCTCCTTTTTCCCCTATTCTTGCTTAAGCCTTGCAAATGTCGATCCAATTGACGTTGCAAGAAATATTGCAGGCTTGAATCCTGAAACCACACTAGGTATGTCAGTTTTCTATATCTTGTATTTGCTATGTCAGAGCTTTATGGACAAGATTTGTAGAACTCTTGGAATTTTAAAACTACCTTTTTCCTTTTTGTCGTAATCTATTGCAGTTGTGGTGGTTTCAAAAACTTTTACTACAGCTGAGACCATGTTAAATGCTAGGACACTGAGGGAATGGATAACAGCTTCCTTGGGGTGAGTATAATTAGAATAATCTACATTTGCTGTTTTTTTAATGAAATTACTATTCCACGCCTAACAGATATGTCATATTCCT